AGTGTAAGTCTGCATTTTTATAAAAGAATCAGTTACCTTCAAAAACTGAGAAGTTGTGCTGATAATATACATAAATGTGTGTATATATATATATGTTTCTATGCTCTACTGTGGTAGATAGCTTAGCTAGTTAGCAACATACCTAATTATTAGTGACCTGCTATTTAAGGGAAACAATTAAAAAGATTGTAGAACATGTGTATAAATGTTTTCGTTTCTAACTTATAGTATAATTATTGCTATTAGTTTTAACTGCTTACTTTAGAAGATAGCAGCCAAGTCAGTGCAACTCCATGGCATTGCTCCTAATGTTTGGAACTATTCAACCTCATTATGATCTGCCATTACAACAAAAAAGAGGCTTGTAGATGATTTGTATTTTAAAGCACATAAAAATGTAAAAAGTGCATATGTGAGCGTTGTAGGCAGATTGTACAGTGAAGCTTTGTATGTGCTTGACTGTATGGGTGCTGGACGTAAATTCACTGTAAATATGTTGAGCCCACAGAGGACACTGTGCTTGACAAGGCCAAGTACAGAAATCAGAGGGCAAACACATATAGTATTAAGGATGATCTGTTCCCTTTCTTGCCCAGTGCCACTTTGACTTCCCAGCTGTTGAAGATCCGCAACCTAATGGAGCAGGATGGTTGTTCCACTCCAAAACTCTGCAGAGTTATTTGTCTTTGCTCTGCTCTAGACAGCAGGAAGAAACACAGGAAGCCTGTTGTGGAGCGCTGCAGAACCTCACTGCAAATGAAGGCATTGTAAGGAAAACATAACTGTCGTCTGCTGTATTTATATTTCTGTTGTTTAAATTGTCCTCACAGGAACTGACATGGACAAACTACTGTACATTTTGTACATTATCTGTGCAGTTATACTTCACAGAGACTTAATGTGCATTATCTTGAAATCAATAAAATAACTCACAGGTTAGCTTCAAGTTAAAGTTCAAGTTGTTTGGATATATTTATAATGTCAATATGTTGTCTCCTGGTTTGAGGAGCTGACCTGGTTTTCTGTATTCACAGGTCTCCGGTGTAATGAGCCAGACCATTGTGCAGAAACTGAATGGCATGAAGGTTATCAGTCCTCTTATAAAGTCAAACAAAGTCAACCTGCAGAGGAACATAGTAGCACTGGTAGGAAACCTGACCAAGAACCCAAACCTGCACAATTCCATAGGTAAGAGCAGGTGAAAGATCCTAACTGACTTTAATTCTTAAATATTTTCTCTTCATATGATAAAGATATACAAACAGAGAAAATTCATCCAACATTTGTTAGAATCTACCTTTTACTTCAGAACAGATGTCAAATTTGTGCCATTATATTAAAATTCATTATCTGAAACAATTATTTTCAGTTTTATCAGCGTTTGCTTGTGTTAAGCGCCCAGTGAGTTTTGTCTGTGTTGTTACTGAAGCTCGTAAAGCCCTCCCAGAGCTGCTGGGCATCCTCAGCGCTGGCACCAAGGAAGGGAATGAGTCTGATGACACTCTGGCCATGGCTTGTCAAACTGCCAACTGCCTGCTTATGAAGGAACCTGAGATGGGCAAGCGCCTGTTAAACAACAACCTGATTAAATCACTACAAGATCTCAGCCAAAACAAGTAAGATTAGAAGTTTGCAAAGTGAGGAGAATGTACCTGTATATGTACTTATAAGAATAGATAAGCTCATCCAAGATATGGGGAATACTTACGGCTCAGCAGGGATTATATTTGGCATGCATGTTAGGTTTCCACAAACAATTGTATGACAATAGTTTTCCTTCCTTTTTAGATATTTCCCTAAATCCAGTAAAGCTGCAGCCCTGTTTCTCTACAAACTGTGGTCAGATAAAGATTTACAGAGCTACCTGAAAAAGGTGAGTTGAGGCTTATCTCTGAGTGCCAATATCTCTCAGGGTTTGTGTCCTCTCCGTTTTTACTTTCAACTCAAAGACCACACCTTCCTCAGGTATTTGTGAGAAACAGAGGGAGAAAGTTTGAACGATTAGACGGCGTTCTCAGGAAGTGCCTACTGAATGTGAATGAGACACTCATATGACTCCGTAGAGGAATCCAGTAGCTCAGGTTCAGGGAAAAACTCAGGACCTTTTTTGCATATATACAAGAGCACATTGCTACAATGCATTATAACACTTGTGCACTTCTGCAGGTATGCACAGGTTTCAACTCCAACTGGAGGTGTATTTTTCAAAATCTGCCATGAGCACAGCGCAGTTTAGTTTGTGGCTTTGTCGGTATGTCACTTACTGTAAGTTCAGTGTAATTACTGAGGTGGAACTGATTCATATTTAACTATTTGTCCTGCAGCAAGGGATGAGTAAGTCCTCATTCGTGAATGACATCACCACAGCGGCACTCAAGTCGGTTCATATTGTCGATTAACACGACAGCACTGAAAGCCATTTGCTGAAGTAACTTGCCTGCAAGTTCTCTACACGTCCATAGGATGCACTGAGGCTCACAACATCTTTTCCACACGTCCATAGGATGCAGATGCACTGAGGCTCACAACATCTTTTCTCATTTCACAAAGACCTACAAATGTGTGTCCATGTCATGCATCCATCAGTTCATTATTCCACAACCCTGTGCATGCTGGAAGGCGAAGCTAACGTCAGCAGCCACACTCTTTGCTGCAGGTTCTTATTTGATTTTATACTGTATCTTTGATTGTGTTCAAATATTTTTCATAAATGTATTGTGTTTGTGCCTGCATTTTTTGTACCATGAGCTTGCTTTATTAATTGTTAACATAAGGGTTAAAACTTAATTTTGCACTGACACTGCTGTTTTAATATCGTGACACGAAGAAATGTGACTTTGTAAAGTGAACATAACAGGACGTGTTTTCTATTGTTAGAGTATCTGAGGTCGTTATACTGTAAGAACAATGACATTTTCTTAAGCAATGATGTGATAACATTTTGTAAAAACTGCTTTTTTTGATTGAGCATCCATCTTTTCACAAATATGTGTTGAATCTTGAAATGAACAAATTGTGTTGTCCCAAAAAAACAGAGGCAATAAAGCTGCAAAAGTGGCAAACACGTTATGAATAATTGCTACATCTGGGAATATGAGTTTTGGTATTCATTTCTCACAGTCACTGATGCTGCATTAAGAGCTTTGTCAAACCTCACGCATATCTCATCACACCCCCCTAGGTCTTGGCTGCGAATTGTGAAATGCTTCTGGTAAATTAGCAGCATATCTTTCAAATTCTGTTTACTCCACCCTGATAATTTATTTTCTGAAACTTCAGAACGAGTTGTGAGAGCAAGACACTGCAGCTATTGTTGCACTTTGTGCATTATATAATTGACCTGATTTGAACTTTGGTCCTTCGTAGTTCAAACCACATAATCCCTCTGACAGCCATGGGGGAATCCTAGGGCTGAGGTTGATATTTCCATTTATGAGGCTTCATAATCATTTCATTTCATACTGACAGATTTATGTTGCTCATATGGTGCCATTTATAGAAGACCAGTAATGCTGTGGGTACGTCCCCAGCTTGCCTAAATGCTTCCATAGAGAGAACAGGCGAAATCAGCTGACCTGAATCTGCTTATTAAAATAACTGGGTTGCTAAAGTCAACTACGCAGTTGACTTTGGCAAACACAATCTGGTCTCATAAAAGAAGCCATAGCTTTTAGAATAGAATAAAATATCTTTATTGTCATTGTATCCAGTACAACAGGATTAAAAAGCCATGTAGTCGGTGTGGCAATCACACACTAATATACACACACAATAATAAAATAAAAAACACATAATAAAAAACAAACACACCACCACACCTTCTCACACTCATCAATTGCACAAACCTTGTTGCACTAAAAACTATGAATGAGTATTTCCTCAGTGGGAATATCTCACATCAGGTTAGTTTAGCTGAATTGAGTCTAGTTATCGCTGTTGGGTAGAAGCTGGTTTTGAATCTACTTGTCCTCGTCTTAATTGAACTGTACCGTCTGCCTGACGGCAACAGTTCAAACAAATGGTGACCAGGATGAGACGTGTCTCTTATGATATTCTGTGCTTTTTTTAGACAGCGGGTACTGTGTAGCTCTTCCAATGTAGGGAGAGGGCAGCCGACAGTCTTCTGGGCTGTGTTAATGACTCTCTGGAGTGAGTTCCTCTGAGCCCCTGTACAGCTGCTGTACCACACACACATGCAGTACGTTAAGATGTTCTCTATTGAGCACCGATAAAAGGATACCAGCAGTCTCTGACTGATGTTATCCATCCTGAGCACTCTCAGAAAGTGTCTCTGCTGAGCCTTTTTCAGCAGTTCAGAGGTATTCACACTCCAGGTCAAATCCTCCTCAATGTGGACTCACAGAAAACGAAAGTCCAGCACCCTCTCCACACAGTCCCTGTTAATGATTAGTGATGGAATGTCCATTTTCCTCCTCTTATAGTCTGTTATAAGCTCCTTCGTCTTTGAGGTGTTGATGAGCAGGTTGTTCTATTTGCCCCACATCAGCCGCTCCACCTCATCCCTGTAGGTGGACTCCCCAGAGATACAGTAAGTCCCACCACTGTGGTGTCATCTGCAAACTTAACGATGGTGTCGTAGGTATAGAGGGTGTAGAGCAGAGGGCTCAGCACACATCCCTGCAGGGAGCCGATACCGATTCTGAGACCCATAGATATATGGTTCCCCTCTCTAACCCTCTGACTGCGACCTGATAGAAAGCTGTATATCCATGTGCAAATTGAATGTGGAAGTCCCACATCAATCCACTTCTTATTAGTGCTCACCTTAAAGTTACCACGAGTGAACGAAGACAGACTCAAGAGAAAGAACACACTGTTTTTGATTTGTTGAATGAAGTTTTTTTTTAATCCATTACAGCCACAAAATCATACAAGATTCAGTAAATCATTTCCAACTTCACTTTGAGTGTTCTGAAAGATTACGCTGAGAATCTTGTCGTAGTGTTTTCAGATACTGGGGCCAATTTAAGAGGTTACACACTTCAAGTCAAGTCCCAAGAAATGAGAAAGAAGAAATAAGCATAAGCTGCACCACACCGTTTCTAATCATACACTGTCTCCTGCTACTTGTCGGCAGATGAGCTCAGCATGCACTTCATTTCACAGATAACATTTAAGAGCTTCTTATCATATTTTCTGTAAATGTAATTTTGTTCTTGCATTTTCAAGTACTTTGAAAACTTTATGCAGTCACTCGGTGATTTCAGATGTAGCCTGTTTTCTTCCAGTTGATGTCAGCAGTTACTTCCTCAGGCCGCGCTTGCTGATTGCACGCCTGCGGCCCTTTGAACTGAAAATAAAGGAAAAGTCAGCAGAGATCCGAAAGTATATAACCTACCTAACCTGTAATGCGTACACTAGCTACTTGCATGTTCCCTTCCATTCGTGTGTTATATTCTGAGCATTATATCTGCGATGCCAGTGATCTGTTGCTTGCAATGTTTGTCATTGTGAATTTTAATTTATCTTACTGATGCAAAAAAAGTCACTTTAGGTAGCTGCATTTGGAATATAAATGATTTTAGGGAAATTCCTGTCTCAGCAAAGAGACTGTGCACTCTTCAATTTGCCATTTTATGAGGCCTTCTGTTTCATTTGAAGCAATTTATGCTCACACCCAAAATTTTGGTTGACAGATGTTTTCTTGCATGTACATGGAACAAGCGGCATTTGATTGACCAGGTATCAAGTCTTCTGTTAGAAGCTCATCAGCTGAATGTAGTGCCTGACCCCCAGGCTGGAAACCGCTGCTCCACAAAAAGCTGCCGCTGCCCTCAGATACTGTAGCTGCTGAAAGCTTTTCATAGCTACCTGTTGTTGGAAGGGGATGTGCCACTACATACTTGACTGGTATCTTTATCCACTGTTGCTACCGAGGTATCTGACCCCCTGCAGCTTCCCTATGAATGCATTTCAATGAATTTAATGAATAAAAGTCAAACTGTGATGAATTATATTTTTATTTACAGTATGTCTGAAGATTTACTTCTCTCAGCCCTGGCATTTTCTGAAAACAACTACTAAAACAAAAAAAAAGTCAAGTATTCACCAAGGCTCAGTTTCAAAGGAATACTTCTATGAAATGTCACTCTTAAGATATTCTTGGTTTGCAAAGTCAGTGCCAAATTTTGCAGGAAAACCAATGGCACAGGCTGCATAAGATCAGGATAAAGGATTTGGATAGCAGCAGGTGTCACTGTCACTGTTTTATTGTGTGCTACATTAACACTGATGATCTCAGATAGCAGCTATGAGATCTCTCAGCTGTTCTGTCTCCAGCACAGCCCAACTCTCCTTCCAGACTGAATACATGTACTGTATGTCGTCCAGATACCTCGGGTTGCCCTTTGTTGAAATGCATCTCATGTGCCGGACTTTTTGTTTTTCCAGAACAGTCTGGCTCAGGAAACTTAAGTCCAGCTGTCGGGCAGCTGGTCTGAAAAGCTCTGATACTGACGCCACTTAAACAATGGAGACCAGAGTAGGAAGATAAGCTGTAGAGACTAAAAAACAGGAGAGGGTGGAAACCTAATGAAGTCACTGGATGAATATCACATCAGGCCGGACTCATGAGTATAAGCAGGGAATTATTGATTATTGCTAACTTGAATGTTGTTTTCAGATCTAGTTTTGTTTAGAGTTTGAATCTCTACTTGTTTTGGTGACAGGGTTGCTCTGTTGTCTTAAAAGTCTTTTGTAATAACACAAGAAATATTTATTGTCAAGTGACTCATGTTAAGAGAAAAGAGGTGATATATACAGAGATGATATGTCACACTTAGAACAAAAGAAAGCATCAATTTATTAGTAACTAGACTTCATGCATGTTAGAAAACAGTAAATCGGGTCATACATGACGTGAGCATCAACAGACTTACACTTTCTGATTATCGCTGACTCGGTTTCTCAGCACAGTGATCTGTGGAAAGATGTATTTAAAAGTTTTATACTCTACACAGCCCTGCAGGTAATATTTGGTTAAAACTGAATCTGTCTTTTTGATGTTTATTTTAGTCTTAAATCATATTGTCAGTCATGGTCTGTTTGTATTTTGACTTGCATCCTCAACTCTATTCAAAAGATTGTTGCTGATGTACATGTCATAGTCAGTTACTGTGGGAACGACATCTTACTTCGTACTTCTGCTTTACGAACTGGTGCTGAAGTTCAAATTTCTCTGCCTCTAGCTGACGCAGCCAGTCCCACATCTCCTTGGCTTTTTCCCTGTATCAGTACAGACAAGACATTTAAAGTATGTCATATGGTGAATAACACCAGTTGGTTGAATTATATGTAGCTGAAATTTATCATGGAGAATATTTGTTTTGAACTGAAATAGAAATGTGTTCTTGTCTTACCTCAGTCGGTCCTCTCTCATATGATCAATGTCTAACTCCTTGCGTCGATCATTTAGGATCTTCTTCTTCTTTTCTCTTTCTGTTTGTCTTTTTGCCCCAGTCTGTGTCTGGTACACAGGAATAAAGTGCACGTGATGACATGTTATACAACATGTTGTATGCCTCTGTTAGTCTGTGACACTTTGAAGATCAACATAACAATCACCTTGTATCCACCAAAAGTCAGGTTGGACAGAATCTGCTTCTTCCTTGCATCTTCATCTGCCCTCTTCTTGGCTTCTTCCTCTTCTTTTCTTGTTTTCTCTTCCTGGTGGGAAACAATATAGTACCTTTGATCAGTCATTTACTTTGATCAGTGACACTGAATGATCAAATTAAAAGTAAGTACCGGGTGGGCCACAATAAAGTAGCCCGCCTCCAAAACAATCCACTTGCTCGGGCTACTTTTCCGTGGCCCACCCTATATAATTGATAGGTGTTTTGGCCTAAGGCAAGACAAGCACATGACAATCATAACTTTATTTAAACATTTTAAAATCAATTTCTAAACAGTATACCTGGTTGAGGTTTCCTAAACTAAGTTGAGGTAACGTCTTATCTTATGATCTATAAATGTTATTTGACCAGGAACTTTACTCACAGCTAGTTTGTTCTGCCGATCTCGTTCCCTCTCCGCTCTGATCTTCATCTGCTCTGATCTCTCTGACCTACGTTTCTCCTGAGGCAGGAGAGGCAGAGAATTTCAGAGATCAAAACAACTCCTGTAAACTCAAAATCTGACTTACAGACAACACTCAATTACTAGAATTGACTAAGAGTTCAGATTAAACATGAGATTTTGCTGCAGAAAGGTGAGATATGACCATACAATGCGATCTGTGAGGTGAAGAAGCTCTTCTTCCTCCTTCTTACGCTTCTCAAAGTGAGCTTCAATCAGAGTCTGGAGCTCATTCATGTCCTTTTCCATCCGTTTTCGGTGAATGTCCTGGAATTGAAATGTAAGATGAAAAGTTGTCCAAAGCCAAAAGAACAGCTTGCGGGTGTAACTTTGATGGATCCTGAAATGAACTCACATCAAAGTCGACTTTTTCTCCATCTGGGATCTTGGGAGGTGCCAAGGTAGGCATAAAGCCGTGCCTGAGGAGGGTCAGAAAAGTCAGCAGCATGTCTCTCATGGAGAATTGTTTTAGTTATACAAATATTTTTAAATTACTTACTTTGACTTGCGCTTTCCCTCTTCTGTGTATCGGTGAAAAGGGAAGAACAAATTAAAATCCCTAATTCATAAGACAGCTTATTAAAAATTGTATAATTAATGCATGAAAACACATTTTATTTTCTAACACAGAAATGACCTCTTTACTGCCTAAGTAACCTGAACATACCTCCCTCATTTTCCTCAGCTTCTGCTGAAAGATGAAAAGATCAGTGAAACGTCAACATTTAGCAGAACAGGCGCAGAGAAGCTCAATCAGATGTGAGGAATGATGAGAGTCTGACAAAATGTAACTAAGCTGTTGGCTCCAATGTTTTCCTTTTTACAGGAAGATTGTTTCAAACCATGACTGCTCCACAACTGCATGTTTATTATTGCTACCATAATGACAAAGGTCTAGTGGACCTGCCACTTCTGTGCATTAGATCCAGGAATTGATTACTGAATGGGCCTACTTATGCAAAAGGGCCATAAATTGACCACAACAGGACTACAAGGAGACAGAAATGCCCAAAAGTAGATGCAAAAAATACATTGTCATAAACCTGAAAACAGGTTTTTTTTCAGCTCATGAAAAGTGGATGTTTTGCAGATACATAATTTTAAGGTGTAGGGACAATACTCTATCTATAGATATATATTATACAAGTACACTGTAATGATTGTCATTAGACAACACTGTGCCAACATTGTGTTAAGATCAGTCTCTATTTATAGCTGGCATGCAAGCATATTAGCATAAGCAGTACTACATTCCTCCTCCTCCTCCTCTGCACAAAGCAAACTTGTACAGTCTATGCAAATGCTTATTAGCAGTGGAGGACAGCTACTTAGCTTCTTTTAAATGACTTGATGCATTTAAATATTGATGTTTAACAGAGCTATACATATAAAATATTTCCAGTTATTATTTTAAAAAAGAGACTTTTCCAAACATCCCCACAGTTTCATATGCAGCAGCTATACACTGTTTGCAAAGTAGCTGTAGTGCTCTGTTCTGTTCCCAGCATTGCTTCCCATACTGGGCCTCTGTGAGAAAAAGGGACACCAAGCCTTTTAGCACCACTGGCCACAGAGGGAAACGCAACCTCTTTCCGCTACAAAGAAAGTAAGCTGACCTGCTTTTAGAAGACCTTTAAAATAAAAGTGGGCATTGTGCTTGTGCTGCTACACTATCTCCCCCAAGGTCCTCTATTGAGAACATAAGCTGACCTACATTGCTCTCTAGCAGCAACTCTACTCCACACAGTAGGAGACAGGTGCTGCTTAGCTTCAGGGACAGCGGGGCGGTCCAGCGGCCCGCACGGGCAGCCTCACAGAGGAGACAAAAATAGAGGTACAACCCTTTATCTCTTAAATGGTGACCCACTGCAGCATTTGAAATGAAAGAAGAGATCCATTGGGGTGTTCATTCAAGGTGAACTATCTCTAGCCTCAGACAGAGGGGACAAAGGTCAATTTGGCAGAAAAGCTGAATGACAACAGTTGCCTCTACAGTGGCACCAACATGCCAAAAATACAGTATGTTGTGTGGTGAAGGCAGCAGCTTAGCAGATCCACTGTGTTAAGCATGTTTAAATGCAAGGCTCAAGCATATAAAGCAGGTAACAAAGTGATAGAAACAACACAACCCGCCTCTTGAGACCGATGCATTTTAAAGCAAAGTTCTACTTTGTTCTCATAGATATTGTTTGTACTGATGTACATACTAACAGTATCTTCCTCTGCTTCACACCACACACAGATGTAAAGAGCAGAAGTCAGCTATGGCAGTTTACCTCACAAACAAATTAAACATGGACATTAATGCATTTCTGATATACATTAATGCAGCACAATCACAGCATTCAGGCATTTCATGTTTTTTCCATAGCCTAGGTGATGCAGCTGTGCAGCATTGACCCAATCACATCTTTTCCTTGGTAGCATGCAGCTGTTTGACTCTGCAACCTACAAACTACACTGTAAGTACAAAACTCATGTTGCCTGTGTGTGTGTGGGCTCAGTGAACAGATAAACCGACTTACGTTGTCCCCTGAAAAACAGAAAAGAACACACCGACAATATTATGTCACAATTAATTCCATCCTTGTTAGCATCACTTTATTACCACTCTCCACTCTAAAGAACCGATGCATTTACTTACTCGTATGTTGCGTCTTCTGTGTCTGACATGTTTAGAATGCAGCACCTGTACAAGTATTTACAATTCACAACAACAGTCTGTTTTAATATTATAACCCTACTTTAAACCCACTTGTCTGAAAAATGCCTGCACTGATGTGCAATAGCATTGATATCATAATAAAACCTCAATTTGCTGTTTAATAACATGCAAGGGACAGACAGAGACTTACCCAGGTAGCGCTCTGTACGCTTCAGGCGGAGCTCAATTGGGAATTGTATGCTGTGCCCTTGTCTGTGGGCCATAAGCTTTTAAACCCAGTAGTGATCACATGGCGGAAAGCTGCCCATGTCAACAATGGGTGGGCACATACCTGCACACAGACGGCAGATGGCATTAGCAAGAATGGGAAAACATGCATTCTCCATGTCTGGCAGATGTGGGGAAGGGTAGAAATAATCCTGCTAAACACAGAACAAACAGGCTTTACTACTGTGATTCTTCTGATCAGTAACAGAATCAGACTCAGAGTCATCTTTTTTGCCAAATTGAACAAACGAGGGATTTGACTCTGGCACAGTGGCTCTTACTGTGTTTCATAAGTCAACAAGAAAGAAAGTGTGTGCATTTAAATAAGAAAAAGGAAGAAGAGACAAAAACAGCAATTTATCTAACAGATTTATCATACAAACTTTATACTTCATAGCATTATGTAACAGCAACAATTTATTCCCTAAACTGGAGGTGTTACACAATCAGACCACTGAGCATTATTCCCATAGCAGCTTGCCAAAGGAGAGGGTAAAATAAAACTGGCTCCCTTTACCAGCTCCTCAGTCTTCACATGCAATAACTTGTTCTCACCAACATCTTTATGACCATGCCAAGTATTCTGATATTCCCACCGTTGTGCTGTTGACGCTGTATCTGACCACACAGTCGACATTATGACTTGAATGACTTGAGTCTGAGCAGATGTCTCTCCTGAGCCGAAGCCAGAATGCAACTCTGCTTGTGGGGATGATTGAATGGAGTTCCCCTTCGACCCGCTCCAGCCTCTGCTTACAGTGGGATCAGTGAGGTGTTAACGTCTTCTGGGGCAAGTCCAAGCACAGTCTCAAGTCAATCAAGACAAGTATATCAGCCTGGATTTGTATCAGTGCCTTTCTCTTAACTGTTTATTACGTGTGTTTGTGTGCATGTGGATGAAGGGGTGGTTTTCTGGTGGAGGTTTTCTAGCTATTATGTAACTGCCCAAACTAATCATTTTAAACCTGTAACTCTTTTGTTAGTGAAAGTAAACAATAATTTATAACAATATTTCTTGTGTGTCTCTACAGCTCTGGTTAAGCCAGTCTAACAAACCTGCAATCCTGGTGGCTTTCGCCAGACAGGTGTTACCCACATTCAAGTCAAGTTCAATCCAGTTTTATCTGTGTGGCACCAAGCCACGACAAAAGTCATCTCAGGACACTTTACAAAGTAAGGTTTAGACCAGTCGCAGGTTTTCAGATACTAAGTCTTCAGGGAGTTACATCTACTTACAAATCAAGTCCTCAGAAATTTGTTGATATTATATTATTTATCCATGTGTTCTTGCCTTTGTATATTAGATACTCCTGTACAAGATGAGTTCACATGGTGAAATACGTTTTGCTGTAGCTTGTTTGGTAGCTAGGAAATGCATTTATTCACTGAATGTCTGAGCTCCTTCACATTCACATCTGGCTTATTATCAAAAGTCCATAAATATTACACATGTATGCATCTGTGTCAATCTGTCTCAAACTCTGTAGTCTCAGCGATGCAAAGGACCCTATCTACATGCACTGGATATGAATTGTATACTTTGTGTAATATGTCTATCCTTAGGATGACTAAATAAAACAAAAACAAAATAATAAAAATCTGACTCAGGTGCGAACAATACACCTCTGGTTTCATCACTTATTTTATTATCTGAGCATTACTTTTGGCATTTTGATGCACAAGTTGAGTGTATGTTGACACCAAATGTTGGTTTTGTAAGTTGATAGCAGGAAGTACTAAAGGTGTTTTTCATAGTAAAAGACATGCCAACGTTTCTTTCTTTCCCTGTGTGTATTTCTAGTATTAACAATAAAGTAATTCTGGATTATGGCTGACATATGTGTGTAGTTTACAGAACACTACAAAGCAATCACATTAGCACAGTGACGTTCCAAATAGAGGTCTCTAATACCAATGTTTGTGTTACTATCCACTGAGTAGGATGCAACAAGGCTGTCACACAGTCTTAGAAAGTCAGTCAGCCACATTATAGAGTTCCAAGTACCTTTCTTTGGCTGAATAAACTTTAGTCTCCTGAATGTATTGTTGCAAACCCCACCCTTCTGGCACCCGGTTTAACTAAAACAAACAACAAAAAGCACTTAGGCCTCCTAATGTCATCGACATGGTACTAGTCCTGGCAGGGATCCTCAGTTAAAACGTATCATTTAAGATTTATTATGTCCTTTTCAATAAAATACTTTGATCCATGGTTTTTACTCCATTCGCCTGGTCGAAACCTGCTGGCTGGAACATTTCCCTCATTATTTCAGAAAGCCGTGAGCTGATACTCCCACCTTGTGGCAGAAATGAAAACCAGGTGAAATGCACCAGTGCTTTTAGCTGTACTTTCACATTAATTTATCACTATCTCATGTTAGAGGACTTTTAGTAACAGACTGATAATTATTATAGTAAGAATAAAATTATAATAAAAATCTCACTAAGTGCAGTAGCTGGACAAAGCAAGGACAAAAGACTGCAACTAGGGCCCTGGGAAAAGGTGATGGATTTTAAAAGACTGATTAATCCATTAACTGAGAAAATAACAGATTAACATAGAGCGTAAATGTTTGTTAAGCCATATTATAGACACATACACAATTTATTTGGGTATCTTGGAATTATTAGGCCTATATGTTATGAGTGTTTTGTTGTAATTTAAAGATTTCATGTCACGTTCATAGACATGAATAGAAATGCACAGACACTGTACAAGGTTGTAGCCAGACATTTACGGCAAACACTGTTGTTCAAATTTATCCCACCCCTACCCAGGATGTTTTTAACAACACACAAACAGCTGGGGGGAAAATTCTATTAATAGGCTCTGGATATTATTAAATCATTTGATTATATAGTCCAATAGTTTCTTCCGCATTTTATTATTAATTCAAATTTAAGTTAAAATGTGTTCTTCCCAAATATCTGCAACACCATAACGCTCCCTTTTTCCATGTTTAAAATGTTATTACATTTTCAAAAACTGGCTTAATCACCTTATACAGACAGAGTATATCCCGAAAGGAATAAAGCTTTGACGAGAAACTGTATAAATGGAGTACGTTTCGGTGCGTCAGTGTCCCTGCTACACTGTCACATGACATGCTCTACTTGCTGCAGAACATATCAAACGCACTCCTCAAAGTGAGGCGGGCTATTTAAGCGTGAGTACCACGTGATGATTATGTTCCCGGCTGTTGAGCTGTGTTCTGTTGCTCCGTTAGCTTTCCCGATTAAGCTAACTTGCTAACAGAGCGGACATGTTGCTTCAGGACACGTTTGGATTTTGTGCGGCTTCTGTTCCTGGGTGTCACAGTGAGTTTCCAGTTGGAGTTAGCTATCTGGGCTGCTGAACAGGGCTGCACATAGACCTCCCACTAAGGATTTATTCCCCACGGAGATGCTAGCTATTGCTGCTTCCCCTCACCTGGCTACAGCAGGTACTGTGACCTACACGCTGCTCCTACTTTACTGCTGGTGGCTGACTTCTGCTGTTTGCATAGACAGACCTAATATTTATAAACAGCTCATTGTAGAGGCTTTGCTTAATTTTTGTGTGATTGTTGTTTGTTGTACTTACATTTCTGACTTGGATTACAATTTGGATGCATTATATTACAAGACTGCGATTCTTCATCTTCATTTAAAATGTTTGTAGGCGCATGACAAGCAGTGGATAAAACTGCTAATTAGCATGTAGACCATGTCAGAAATCAACGGCAATCACATTGGGCTGATGAATGTTAACACAAAACCCTTTTCTTTTTGCAGTATCCAAAAAAAATGGAGTCTCCATTTGTTGTGTTTATTTAAGTGAAAATGAAAGAAAACAGAATATCTATGTGCTACAGGGGAGAGATGCTGAATATGAGATGCCAAGCCATTCTGCTGAGTGTGACTTCTGAAGTCTTTGGGTGTGGGGGTGTGTGTGTGTGTGTGTGTGTGTGTGTCATGTGCTCTGTTCTCTATGGATGGCAAACAGTGGCATTTGACAGCTGTTTCATTCACTGGTTGGGGCCCTTTGCTGCATCAAACATCTTCTTGCGACCCTCCATGCCTGACATGGCTTCCACATTCTTCCTCCAGTCACTCACCTCCACTGTCTTCTCCTGCAGCACACACACATGAAGACAGTTTTTAGTCTTTTCCAGTGTAGTGTCTCACCTGGATGCTGCGGTAGTGGACATGGCTAGAGAAATTGACCTCTTGACATGGGTTTCATTTATCAGTCCATTAGTCTACAGTAACTAGTTTGGTGCTGTTCTGTCAGAGCCTCTTAATTAACTACAAACACTGGTTGACTTGCTTTGACTATTCTTCTTAAACAGAGTCTAATATTTTGACCCTTGCACCAGTTTTTGTTTTGGTAAACTGAGAAATCAGTTTCACACTTTATCATACACCCCCAACAGGAACATCAGCATTGACCTTGTGAATAAAGTGCCACATCAACTATCACTTTGAACAAGTTCTCAGTCTCAGCTGCTGCCCCTGTTCTTCTCAGCTTTATCTGTGTTTTGGTTTCTTTTTCCCAAACCCACCTTCTCTGTATCCTCCTTCTTGACTGATTTGAGATTAGCTCGCAGGTCCATAGAAACCTTGTGCTTGGAGCCCAGCAGAGAGCACAGGATGGCGTCAGCAGAAACCCTCACTCTCCTCAAGCTGGGTCTCTTAAACTTTCCTCGCAGGTCCAGCACCTTGATGTTTAGGTCTTTGATCTGCGGCAAAAGCAGAGATGAGGTTTACTGCGTGTTTTTGGCCGGTAGCCTACTCTTTGGACTGTCGCAGCTCTGATCAGCGCTGCTTCTTTCGTAATCAGTTTTCCGTTACCTCTCGGGTGTTGTGCAAAACTTTGGCTTCAATATCATAGCACTCCTCGTCCACCACGTCTATCTTGGCATGCAGCTCTTCACATAGTGTCTGTGTAGAAATTAAGATGAACTGAATGATGATTTTATCGCCTGCTGAGTGAAATACCAGAGATCTTTTGCAGTATATCTTCAATACATGCAGAATTTATAGAATGAGCTTGCAAATATGAGTCAGATAGTGGTGAATGTAAAATGGTACCTGTAGCTGCTCTAAGGACATGCCGAGGGTTTGTATTGGAGGAGCTTTTTCTTCCAGGTATTTTGCCTTTTGCTCCTCTTTTTCTACCATCTCTTGTTCCAGATCCTCCTTAGCCTTGGCTACCATCAGGCTCTAAAACACCACAGAGAAGCAAAGCTAAAGCTCTCATTTACTGCCTGTGCAGGGTGCAGCCTGTGTAAATGCGGCTGAGGACTCACCTTCAGCATGAGCTTGCGAGAGGCTGAGATTTTAGATTTTATCTGCAAAAACAGAAGTTGTGTTTTTTTTTTGCAGCAATAAACAATATTTGTTAGTCAAATGGAACATTGTGAAGTCTTACCTCTGGTCTGTGGGTAGAGAGTCGTACAAACATAGATTTAGAAAAATCATTAAAGATACAGAGAATCTGAATGAATTTTAAATTATAACTGCAATTAGCCTAAATGAAAAATGGTGATTCAGGCGCAGACTGTTCTTCTGTGTTTTAAGCCAACTGACATGGTCAAGAGTTTGTTTTGGTGATTTTTGCATTAAAGTGAAGTTTGCTATGGTGACGAATTGCATGCATGCCGGTGTCTTGATTAAAATGAATTTGTGCAGAATCAGCTTTGTGTGTGAATCGTACATCAGTAATAATTGACAATGGCCTATTTTTTACCACTGATCCATGATGATAAAGGTACAGAAGTAGCATATATGACAAAATAACACATTGCCAATATTTTAGACAGAGTCCTCCAAATATTTTACTATTATTTCATGTTTTCAGGGGAGCTCCTGTCTTATGGGGGGGATTGAGCTCCCCCGTAGTTTGCAACACGATTATGTTCCTTAATCTGTGTTTCTATAGATAAATGCCATTTGCTGTCTGAAACTGATACTCTCATTTGGAAATGGAAACACAATACACTTACGGTTTCTCAGGCATCTTGGCAATTTCAATTCCCCCTGGAAGACAAAAATAAAGCCTTTTGTCTCTGATGTGCTCGATACTGGAGGCCACTTGGGTCTAGAGCCCCAGTAGGTCCTAATTACGGTTTCCATTTTAGCTCCACTACAGTCAACTAGTTTACAAGAATGGAAATATACAGAGTATCTGGAGAGAGACTGACATATATATATTCTGTTTAAGGACTGTTGGCTTTTACTGTTCCTTCATTACTTTTATTTTTATATAATAATTATTACATTTCTAATTGACATGACCTTTCATACAGCAACCCTTTGTTTTGTACATTAGCAAAGGTTTGGACCCATTCAGCTCAACGGGACAGTATGTCCAAACCTGGTTCTGTTCTCTAAGTCATTGCTACATCTTACTCACAGAGCTGCCCAGAATCAACCAGTCACCTCCCACCGCTGATAGCACACTCCATCACCACTAAGTGATGGCAGACAGGGAGCGGCATGCACGACCTCCAACATGGCAGCTATTCCAGACAGATAACATTTCCTGCTTTTTATTCCCACTTTTCCACTGGATCAAGACACAAATATAGACGGGGGTTCCCGGTTCTCAGAACAGAGCCGCCTAACACAGCGTGCATGTTCTGTACACTATAGAACTTGAGGTTACGGACATTTATTATAGTTGTATGAGATTTTGTAGGGCTGAAACTGTCGCTTATTTTCTTTAGTGATTAATCACTTTCTTCTCGGTGATTTGTTTGATCTATGAGAGATCAAATTGTTTTATCTAACACCATGTAACAACCTAAAGATTTTCTACTGTCGCATTAAACAGAAAAGCAGTGAATCTTTACAGTTTTGAAGCCGTAACTAGGAAATGTTTGGCAGTTGTGCTTGGAAAAACTACTTTTGACAATATATTTATTATCAGACTAGGTGCTGTTAAACATTTAATCAGTCAGTCAGCTAGTCTGTCATAGTAAACAGTCTTTTGGTTTTCGAGTGTTGGTCAGACACAAGACATAAGTAGCCAAACGCACACAGGAGACATGAAGCAATCATTTTTATATCTTAAAACTACCAATTATGTTGATGTGGTGTGGCTGAGATGCATGGCCTTACCTTTCTGTAACGGTGCTGTGGATGCAGAGTGACCAACGTGATGGCGAGAAGAAGGACACTGGGATATTTATCTTCTGCACCCCTGGCTTTGTCCCTCCTCTCTATCACAAGGAGACTTAAATAGAAACATACACAGGCCATGAGAGAGGGTGGGCTCAGGATATCAGTGGCTGTGATACTTATGTTGGGTTGACAGACCACTGGTCTCTGCTTCTTTATAATAATGTGTGTGAACTTTCCTGTGTGCCAAAATGGGATGAACGTCTTAACTGAAGTTCACATTACCAGATTTAAGACTGCTGTTAATCTGTTTTCCCTCGTTTACACGGTGTAGGTGATGCATTTAAATTTCTGGGTAGCATCATTTCTAGTCTTTGTTCATGCCTATTCCCCTTTATTTGTTCTCCAAGTTGCAAAGGCAACTCCAGGTAGTTTGTCTTATTACTGCAGATGGTTTTCTTTGGTTAGTGAGAGCGATGTTAGAGATGTGCCAGTCTCCCCCTGAGGCTGCAGGGCCCCCTTTGGTCTGATTAGTATAATCACCGCAGACGATGCTAAGCTGTGGCTTTAAGGCATGAATGAAGCTAAAGCCACACAGCCAAATTGCAGCACCGTGTGATGCTGCTGCTCTTTGACAGGGTCCCTGCATAAACATGTGTACATAAATGAGACAGTGACCTGCTGAGCTGCCAGGCTAGCGCTGCAGTTTATTACAGTTGGTTTAAGCTCACATCAAGAATGGGAGTCGACGACCATGGGAAATACTGCTAGTGATGAGTCAGCCTCTGTAGTGACTTTATTTAGAATTTGAGGAGATTTGAAATAATTCCATTTGTCTTTAACCCTGTAAAGCCCAACATATCAAAAAATAGCCAGAACATTCTAATTTTTTGGAACTGAGATGTTTATTAAACCTCTTAACAAAATCTAAAATAAAATTCATGATTCAAAATTCAAGATTCACGATTTTTATTTGCCATATATGCATAGACAGACAGTCCAGGCATATAGGAATAGAGGTGCCATATTATTTAGATTATTTTTATTTCTTTTGTATCATATTTGATACATGGGGCATTTTTGATGTTTTGTTTTGTTTTTGTTGTTTTTGTTTTTTTTGCTCCGAAACCTCACGTATCAAATATGATTCAAATGGTTTTATAGGGTTAAGTGTATCCTGGTTGTTGTTGTTGTTGTTAGAGGGATTGATTGTGTAAATTTTCAGAATTGGGTTTTTACTCCAGCTGAGTCAGGACTTTAAACTCCCTGATGCTGGTTTGATTTATGACACTGAGATCTACACTGATTACTCACGGCAGCTGATCGTGATTCCACACTATACGTATATAGCAGCAGAATTAACTAAGTGCTGTGTGTGTCTGCGGCAGTGTCGCTGAGAAACTTAAAGCTACCACATATACAGATGCCAGGGGATTATTTGGCAGTTTACAGCACAGTTTTCACATGTACTTTGCTGTAATTATTATTTACATGTATGTAAATGAGCTAGAGCGTAGTGGAGCAGTGAGAGGGGGTGCTGGGCGGAAGCTAGAGCGTAGCGGAGCAGTGAGAGGGGGTGCTGGGCGGAGCAGAGCGGCTTGATTTGGAGTTTCATTAAGTTACATACTGTAGCTTTAAAACATGCACTGCAGTTGTATCGTGCCGGTGGTATTCGTGTGCATAACGTGAACAAATATTTGGTTTACTTCCTTATTTAAAGTGCAGTGTTAATTTAAAGTCTGATATCGAATGGATCAAACCTGCTAAAACACAAGTTTGAAATATTACAACTGGCGCAGTCAAATAATTCACTGCAACTGATTAAAAACATTATTAGTTTAATTTTTCAGGAGAATTTGGCCTTTTTATCTTATGTACTATGATCATGTCGCCCTCTGGTGGCTAAGGGGTTTCCTGCACCTGCAGTAATAGTGTTTTCATATTTAAAGGACGCTTGGAGCAAATATCCATTTTGAGGATATCTTCAAGGTTGGAGATGAAACACTTACTTGTTCCACATATTCATTATAAATGTAATTACATAAAAGTTCTGGAACAGATCTGAGGTCTTGAGCATGTCATCTTGGTGTGGATTTCAGGCCTAGGTTAGTTGTTGATGTGACTCGCACATGTTGTAGTCTGTGCCAAAACAAACAGCTGTCTCCTCCATCACCGTCACCCCCACAGCTGCACGGCACTCAGTGCCAGCTCCTCGGAGCAGGCGGAGACGGGGCCAAGTACTGTGACTATGTTGTTCAGCACAGCAGCCGGCTCTTCGCTCTGTGTGATGACGATTAGAAGCAATAACAAGCGCGACCGTGATGTAAACAAACTGATTTCATCAGGTCAGAACCACAGAAAGAACAATGACAGTAGTGTAAAGAGTACCAAAATGTGCATGATGGGTAGTCAGGAAAGAATCCATTGTTTTTGTTGCCTGATATTTAATTTGTGTCTTAGCAGTAACGTGTATTTTCAGATAATATGTACACCTTTTGACATTTAGGGCAGGAAGGATGGTTTTATCTCTGCTTCACTTGAACCTTGAGGCTGTTGTTCCACAGCTGTCAGTCTGGAAACGTGTGGTTCTTATGCTGTTGCTCAAAGACTATTTGAGACATTAATCAAACTTAACATTTGCCAAGCTCATTTATGTTATTGCAATATGAGTGCCTGTTAGATTTACAGTCATGTAGTTACTTTTTTTTTCTATAAAAACTGAGTTTAAACACAATGTGCACATATTCAGTTAGAATTCAATTTTTAAAAAATGTTTTACAGGATGTAACCACCAGGTCCTAATGCAACATGCAGTATAGAGCAAAATTGACTTGAATATGTACAAAAAACTGTGTGATTCTTTCATTCCTCATTGCCTGTAGCTGGAGTGAAAGGGCAGAGTAAAATAGGCTGGATATGGAGTGGAAGATCCTGGCAGCGATGATAGCAGAGCACGACAGGTGTCGGTCCCAGGTGGCCCGAGGCTTCAGGCTTTACTGAGAATGAGCAAGGGCGCCTGCACCCTGACCAAAGCCAAATCCCTTAGGACCAAAGTTCTTTGCATAGCATCCTGTGAATAAAATTACAATGAAATGGCAAAAAAGACTGGAGTTTTGTTATACACACTTCTGAAGGCAAAGCTGGTTTATTCAGAGGTAAACCTCAGTTTGCAGAGCCACAGAATCAGAGGAATGTTGTTGTTGTTGTCGTCGTTGGCTGACTTAAACTATGTAACTACCAAACATGAGTTGTTAATTGAAAGACTTTTGTTTTTACCTTGATGTGTACTTCTCTGTTCTGTTCAAATATAAATGCAGTAAACTAAATGGCAGCAGGCGAGAGGGGTTTCTGATGTACTGGGCCTCAGCTGTTTCTGCTCTGCACACTGAGGTTTAACTCGGACGAGGTCCGAAATATGTCATACAAGTAAATAATACTGCATATCACAAAACAGCTGCAAGTACTGCCATATTTGTGCAACTAAACTACAGTAACTGCCAATTAACAGAGGACTTTCCCAGTTTGCATGTGTTTTAGGAAGATGCTTTTCATCAGTCTTCCCATTGTTTGTAAAAAATTAATGATTAATTATCTAAAATACTCATTAGTTTCCACCTTTACTCCCAAATTAAAATATTAATTAAGTACAAGAACAAATCATGACCATGCTAGGTTGCTAATCTTCCTTTGGCTGCTTTTAACACTCTATTTTAAAAAGCCAAATCAATGTTGACCCTGGTTTTTGCATTTTGTTTGTCCAACTCTCTCTGTACAAAACAACACAATGTCTTCATTCTGGCAGCCGCTGTCTCTGAATTTCAGTTGATGAGAGCTCCTCCCTCATGGGGCTAATTTACACACCAGACTTTGACAACAAGGGTAGAGAATCTGGAATAACAGAAGTGCTGTAAGTGGCAGACTGTCACGGAGGAGGTGGTACAGCAGACAGACGCCACGTCCTCTCACTTGAAGTGTGAACTCTTATGGTAGCTAATGCACCTTTTTAAGTTTTCTTCACATAACTAATCAAGTTGGCCACTGTCGGTTTAGCTCTAGTTAATCCACACAGACCTTTACAGTAGATCTCCCCATCTCGATCGGCGAGGGTCGTGGACTCCAGTCCTTTGCCGCACTTGGCACAACGAAAGCAGCCCTTATGCCAGGACTAAGGAGAGGGCCAAGAATTGGATTAATTTCAGAAATGTCCTGGCAAATCACTGACTTTAAATTTAGAAGACAATTTATATAAAAAAAAATGGTATAGGTCTTCCTTACATTGCCCCCTCCGATAACCTTCTCCGCTGCATACACGGTTTTCCCACATCGAGGACACACATCTGAGCCTCCTGCCTTCTGGGCAAACTTTGATGTGTTAGGGTTATTTGTAGGGCGATGAGGAGCTTGTCTTAAAAATCAGAAAGCAAGGTGGTAAGGTTCATACAACTGAGGGAGGAAACGGAACAGACCTGCTTGATAGAAACGTATCAAGAGCTGCTACTACTACAGCTATGTAAATCCCTTTTTGTTTAACCCCTCATGTGAAACTTTGTCAGTCCTTGGAGCTGTTTATGTACTTTTCTATTCAAAAAGGTGAAAGCCAAAAAAAAGAACACTACTTATTTAACGACGTGGATATAGAATATAGTACTTTATACTGTTATCACTGATTAAACTATCAGGAGCTAGTGATTAAACTATCAGGAGCTAGTGCTGATTTGCTCACAGTTCAGGCTTGATTCCAAGTCCCTCTCCTGTGTCCATGCTCAAAGTGCCAGCTCCACCGCCGAAGCCGTAGCCCTTTGGTCCATATTTCTTGCCATAGCACGATTTGCAGTAGATCTCATCCACATGAACAGCCACTGTTGTACTGTCCAAGTTCTTTTTACAGACCACTGAAAACAGCAACAACAAAAAACTAATTAAATGTTCCTTTCCTGAGAATCTACAGTGCAACAAGGACAATGAGCCCAGTTCTCAAAAACAATCCTTGACATTGTTCCCACATGATTAGCTGTGACATTACCACAAACTATGCATAACATTTAAAAAAGAGAGCAGCATACTCATGATGTGCTTAGCTGGCTCAGATAAACGCTTGCATGAGGGGGGAGTACGAGTACCTTCCTCTGCCATATAAGGAAACCTAAACCTTTGTCACATGTTTCCACTACATCCAAATAAGGGCCGAGATGTTCGAGCGAAACCTGCAGATGCTCAGTTTCCTACCCTGATGCCAAATATTCTGCATTCCTTCCTGCCACATATTGTGATTTCAGAGTCATTACGAGAGTCAGTAGGCAGATAAAGCAGTTTACCTGAGAACTTGAATACTTACTGCACAGAAAACAGGATTTATGCCAGCTTTTCCCCTCGCACTGCACTTCCTCAGCAAAGTAAACGGTCTTCTGGCAGCAGCCGCACTTGTTTCCTCCTCCAAAAGGCATTCTGTGATCACACACACCGTATATATAATGTGAGGCAACACTTGAGTCTACATACAATACCTATAAAAGGAGAAGCACTAGTTGATACTAGAGCGTTCTCTTTGCCTTTGGTGTAAGTGGATATCTGTTCATAGCTGCCTGTAAAATGCAAAGTACCTGCTAGCATGGCTCAGATAGCACTAAAATCACCTTATACATTTAAAGTTATTTCAGAGCTCATTCAGTATCGACACCACACCAAAAACAATTGTCTTTTACGGCGACGACATCATGTAATGTTTCAGATACATCAGTCCTTAATCGACTAGATCACTCTGCATAGACGGGAAATTCTCAGTATTTCAATTTGTAATGTTCTGACCTCCAACAGGCTGAGGACAGTTAATTAGTTGAAACCTTGTTTTTAATATGCTGACAAGTTTGCTTGAAGGTGGCTTTTTTTTTTTATATACATAAAGCTCATTTTAGCAGAACATTGTCACCTTTTCAGGATTGTTTCTTATCGGATGCTCAAGAAACAAAGTTTGCAGCATACACCCGTCCTATCAAAGACATTAAAGGGATATTTTCCAGCTTAAGTGTATGTTTACCAGCACCACTGTGCAGATATTTAATTAAAAGTAACCTTGACTGTCAAATCCAGAATTTTAGCACACACCGTTTCTTTTACCACATTTAATTGTTAGACGTGTTTGATTTTCTCTGTAATAGAAGTGTGAAAAAAGCTCTTTTCCAATCAACTCTGACATAAAGTGCACATATCAGTGAAACAGCATGTACAGACATCTTGTCATCAAACTTTATGGCTAAGTGTGGAGATATTTGTTGTTTGCTGAGATGCATATTTTTTGTTCACTTAGCAAGTACAACTTAAGTTTAACTGTTACCTGCACTGAGGTGAAAGGCTGCTCCTCTCTGGCTGTTCAGTGAAGAGATGACTAAGATGGGAAGAGACCGTAGTCTGCAGAGAGGCAGAGGGAAGCTGATGGGACACCAGGCTGTGGGAGGAGTCATGATGGACACACAGAGGGGGAGGACAGCAGTTATTCATGGAGTGGGATGGAAGACTGAAGAAGATGGAAAAGTACTACACATGTATCCCATGTATGTGAAAACTCGGTTGCCAGAAAATGCTCAAATTTAAATGTGAGCAGCAAATGAATAGTAGCTTGTCATATCTATGAAGACTGCAGAGCTTCAGAAGGTTTTTTAGAACATTAGTGTGTTAAGTAATGTAGCACAAAACAAATTTTAAGGTGAGTTAAACCGTCTTTCTCTTGGTTGAGAAAGAAAATGTTTGCAGTTTTAGGTAGGGACGTACTAGGTCCTCTGATACTTGAACTCCTAAAAGTTGTCCATGCAGTGATGCCACTTGACGGCAACATTATGTTAACATCGTGCTGGTTGAGCAGGTTGTTAGGTGGAGGATAAGATGTCAGCAGAAAGTGGTACTGGTGCATCTCTGGTTTTAGGTGTTCTGAAAGCCCCAGTTGTCAGTGGTACTTCTCCATGCTCACGGTTTATTCTAGAAGCATTAATGCAGCGCCACCTCTTTTATTGACCTTGTAAGTTTCAGAAACAAAGTGCTTTGACTCAGTCTGCACTGGTAGTGGGTACGTGTCACCTTGCACCTACATTTGAGCAGTTTTATAATATGATGGAGAGCCTGAGGGACAGCTGCAGAAATCTGTGCATAAGTGACTTATTGTTTTTTAATGGCAGACTTACTTAAATAATAGCTTTCTTTGGTCCTGCACACTCAGGTATGCTGTCAGTAGCTATAGATACAGGGAGTTTTAATTGTCTCCCTTACTCCGTACTACTACTACTACTACTACTACTACTACTACTACTACTACATGAAGGGTGTCGTTGGCATTTGGCTGGTGACCTTGTGCACTGTGACATTTAATGATTGTGCAGGTAAAGGCTCCCTGTCTCTCACGCTTTACTGTAGCACATCACACATGTGACCTTTTGCCCAATAATAGATGGGTGCATCATCCTCCTGTTCACCAGAATAACACGTCACAATCTCATGTATCCATGAATACTTGCTACTTATTTTATTATTAGTGTTGACAAACATGGCTCCCTAAGCCGAGGATCAGGAAAGGTGAATCTGATAAGGGGATTGTAGTCGATACGGCGTGATGCTGCTTAGTCTGCCTTCCTGTCTCTCTCCAAGCCCTCTAGGCTCTTCACCATCATAGGAAGAGACAATGATGAACTCACAAAGTCTATTTATAGCCTGCGATTGGCCAACATTAGCCCTCTGTTTCTGCTCTGTGGACATCCGCCTTGGCTCTTTGTATAGAATGTGTACATGTTAATATGCTCGTGACAGAGCACAAAGAGGAGTTGAGTGACAGAGACTCAGTGGATTTAATCCAGAGGAGGAAGAGTGGATGAGAGGCAGGGGCAGGGTTGTCCATCCATCAGTGAACGGAGGAGTGGGGATCGCTCATTGGAGCCTCAGGGAGGAATTCAGCATACTTTTTTTTTTTTTTTTTTTTGACTTGACTTGAAGCCAGCCCTCCCCCCCCTGGAAATAGTTTCCTTTTTTAGGGTTGTCCATCCATCAGTGAACGGAGGAGTGGGGATCGCTCATTGGAGCCTCAGGGAGGAATTCAGCATACTTTTTTTTTTTTTTGACTTGACTTGAAGCCAGCACTCCTCCCCCTGGAAATAGTCTCCTTTTTTGGCTGCATTTTTCACAGAAGCTTTGCCAAGTTGTCAGGTGAGGAGGAATAGCTGAAGTGGTGAGTTGACTTAACACAGCAATGTGTTTGCTTAGCAGCCAGCAGTGGGCTTAGTGTGTTTGGGTGGTGCTCGCTGGTATTTAGTTAGATCCATTGTGGCAGGTGTCCACGCTTTGGTGCATGTTGTTGTGCTATTTCAGCAAAAATAACTTCACATGGCTTCATTTAGCATTTTCCAAAGTGCATGTTTTTGTATGTGCATTTTCACTTCAGCATTAATCAAAAATGCCATAATTGAAGGTTGCAGCTTCTCAAATGGGAGTATCTGCTGGTTTTTTTTAAAAATGATATAAAGTCAATATGTTTTAGACTCATGATCAGAGAAAACAAGACATTTAATGTCAGTTGGTCTTGGGAAATTGTTATGGGCTGTTTTTATCATATTTTATGACCCAAACAATTAATTGAGTGAATAACAATATAAATGACTGTTAGCTGCAGCCCTACTTACTGATTTATTCATTTAAGTATTATTTGGTCGACTGTGGCAGTAATTCATCTCATTAAAATGTCTTTCTCAGTGTTCAGGAACGTGAAGTAACTGCTGTTTAAATTTAACCTTTAGAAAGAAGAGCTTTATTATTACGAGTCCTTTCCAAGCAAGTTGGAACACAAAAGCCAGCTGTATAAACTCAAGTAGCCAGAAGTGTTTGTACCATTTCAGATGATGTCATTAGGATTGATCAGGATATAAACTGTATAAATCATTCAATACGTATGATTAGATAAATTTGGGAGGATGAGATAAGTGCAAGATGTATGAGCTGGGCCACCCGCAGTTTAACCTGCTTTCTGCTGACTGCTCTCTGGCACGCACCCTGGCTGTAATGAGAGGTGAAGAGATGCAGTTCCATAAATTAGTCAGTAGAGGTCACATATAGGCAGAGATTATGTTTAAGTGAAGTCGAGACACACCCTGATTTCTCTGTCTGGCAGTCTTTTGGCATGTACCACTGCTGGAAAACATGCTGATGCAAAAGGTGACAGGATTTTTCTTAACTGAAGCAGAACGTGCAAACATCAGAGTGTGGTGTGCACAGATAATAAGCTGTGAGCGTAGGGTGAAGGCTGAAGGACTTTGCTATCAGTTCAGTTCACTCAGGCTGTTTGTACCTGCCTGTGAACACACTGATTCTTTATCTTGACACTGTTAATTACGCTGCGATTATGTTCAATCTTCTGCAAAGGATTTAATATTGAGATAGCAATTTCTCTCTGTAAAGGTCAAACAGCACATGTACAGTGTGTGTGTGTGTGCAGATTAATTACACATTTCTGTGTCCAGCCAGTCTACATCTTTAATTTTCATCCTCGCTTATCTTGTGTCTGTGACTCAACAGAGGTTTTAAGGCTCCATTTTCCAAACTGCCTCAGTCTATAAACTTCATGAACTTTAGTCATCCTGCAGAGCAATTTAACTTCAAGAAGAGGCAAATTGCTCAAATGTGCAGAAGTGAATATAACATAACTCCTCACACTTTGCCTTGTGTCTTCACACCAGTATGTGTGTTGTTTTATCGCTCTCGGCGCATGCTAAATTTGGTCCTGCTCCACCACATGTCCTTGGTCTGCACATATGGAGCCTTGTAAAATGACGATGTGAGTCATTGTGCAATATCTGGGGGGGGGGTTGTATTAGTCACGGTTTGTAATCCCCATCTAAAAGATTGTATGAAAGGTGTGTGAGTTGATGCTGCGTCCATATAATGACTCCTGCTTTTTTTTTTTTTTTTTTTTTTTCCCTGGGTCACTGATTTGGCTTCCTTTGGCCTAGATTCCCACTGAGGGTCCTGCTGAGGGAGCCTGTGCCCTGTAGGCAGCCAAATACAAACATGCAGTGACAATTCAAATCAGTCCAGTTCACTGGCTGTGACTCAGGACACTAAGCTCCAAGCAGAAAAGATGCACATGCAACTTGCCAGGCAGGGCTGTGACAGAGAAAAAGTGTGGAGTACGATGCAGGTTTCTAGTATTATCACAATATATATGGCTGTGTTTCAGCTCAGCACTTCTGTTCAGAGAGACTTGGACTGGAACGGTGCCAGGTCCATTTAAGTCGGAGACAGCGCCTGCCGGCTAAGTGGCCTGATCCACAGGCACCAGCTGCAGCAGAGGATCTTTCTAGAGTATTGTTATGCAAGCAGGAAGGAAACGGTCCCACGTTGATCCAGACACCGGACGAAGGCTGGGAGGCTTCAACCCTTAATGCTGTTTGAGCTGCAGTCTGCTGTGTTTTTTTTTGTCTCATCTGATATTTGCATATCGGTCAGCAGACAGGGCTCACAGCAGCCGCTCTGCACGATCGTAACAGGGATGGACTGAAGGGCACCTCACTCATACTGGCATGCCTCAGCTTCCTTTGCACTTATTACCATCTCACTGTTATGTCAGCCTTCTTTAGGTAAGTTTACTGAGGACAAAAATGTCTTTATTCTAAGATTTAACTAGTGTTGGCTGCAGTTAATTTTAACTGAACTGAATTTTGAATCGTTTTCAGATGTACTACAAAGTGCAAAATTGTATTTGTTGAGAATGTGAGCAGTTGGCAGACACAGTCCTTTACTGCAGCATCCCAGTACCCCCTGTGCCATGGCTGACTGAGATATTTCTGTCATGTGTACAGTATGGCTGTAGGCAGAGGAGAGGCCTGAGGATCACAGGCTGCTGACTTTGTGGTCCCATGATGGACGTTTATTGTCCTTCCCGGGACTGCGAGTCATATGCCCTGTAGTCGCCTGGGATGTACTGCTGACTCACACCAGTGTGTGCTACAGGCGACCACTGCATCAAACTCACACTTCACATTACTCATCTACATTTACAGTGAGATGCAGCAGGCTGTGATTGTTCATGTAAAGGTTGTTGATGTCCTCATCGAAGATTGAATCAACCCGAGTTCAGGTATACCTCTGAAATATGAGGCTTCCGTGGAATTCTTTTTCTGTTACGTTTGGATAAACACAATCCACTAGGACAGGGAACCATTTGGGAAGTTTCAGTACCAACACAAAACAAAAGCTCTTTAGATAAATTTCAAGCTTTGGTGGAGGCTCTGAGGCTGTGATCAGTCATGGTCTGTGCTAATGTCGACATGCTCCCAGTGGTGACGGTCATATGCTGATGTTTATCAAGTAGTTTACCACTTTATTTTAACATTTGCCTATTGGCACTAAACACAGAGTATAGCTGAGACTCATGAGAATGTATTTGTAAGACAAGATGCAGCGTTTGC